ACAAAACGCAGCCGGGCGCTCTGGCAAGCGCCTGTAGTCCCAGCCGCCAGGGAGGCTGAGGCAGAAGGATCGCTCACAGCCCAGGACCTGGAGCTTGCGGTGACCCCCCTCACTGCACTCTGCCCAGGACGCGAGTGACACTCTGTCTCCACAAAAACAAACACGGAAACTGACACAGTGCCTGCTTAAACCCCCTCCCCCTCATTTTCAAACAATAAAAAAATACTTTAAAAAAAAAAAAAAAGAAAATAGTAAAACATAAATGTCATAGAATTTTACAATCCTTAAGGGCCATTTTATGTGCCATGAATAGAAATAATGAAGCTGTTTAATGAAGTAATTTTATAATCTAGGGAAGACAGAGCCTCAGGTGCTAAGCCATCTGTCACGCATGGCCTCCCTGGACAATCTCTGATACTCGCTCAGACTTATCTTCTTTTTGGAGTCCCAGCTAAAGGGAAGTCATTTGGGTCATGCCACTGCATCACTCAAGATCGCTTTCTTTCTAGAAGCTCAGACATGAAAATGGCTGTTCCGAAAGTCAAGGCAATTGTGGTTGACTACTCTACCCCGAAGCCCATGGTCCCCTTGGAGGACATCCCTAGGATCACACATGTTATACTATAGATGCTGCATTTTCCAGCTCTTCTAGATACAATTTGTCATTACTAAATGCTTGTTGAAGTATCTTAAAAGAGATGACAAATTCATTAGAACAAGACACATGATGAAATATGAGAATCAAGTTCAAATTACTTAGTCTTGAGCTCTTCATTTTCAAGTCAATAGAGATGTTATAAAATCATGTTCCTACTAAAAAAAAAAAAAGCTACCATTGGATGTCTCCTGAGTATGGATGTGAAAGAAAGAACTTTTCTGATTTTTAACATCCTGCAGATTTGGGGGCTATTGCATTGAAGCGCTCTTCGGAACAGCTTATGAACCCAGCAGAGCCAAAAGAAAGCACAGCTACAGATTTCTCAGCCTCCCTCCTGTGTTTTTGTAGCTTCACATCTCCGATGTAAAAATCGCAGTTGAGAGTCTCATATAAAAAGCACTCTCAAGATTTATTTGCTTTTTAATATTATAAAATTGCAACAGAAATTGGTTTGGTGCTTTATAGGACCCTGTACTCGTGAAGTTAGGCTTTAAGGGGGTTGAAGGCTCTTTAACAATACTTATACAGATTAAATGTCTCTAAATAACATCCCGATATGGGTGAGACAATGGACTATAATTTTGTGTTCCAGTAATTGTTTCTGGTATTCTTGTTTTTAAAATTTTCTTTGACATAGTGCTCAGATGCATTTTTTTGAAAACAAAATCTACCAAGTATGTTCTCTTCTTTCTTTCCCTATTTCTGCATAATTGTGCTAATATACTAGCTAGGGCAGTTATATTTTAAATGGCATGTATATATTTAGCAGCATAATTATGCAAATTACATGTGTTTATGATTGTAAATATCCTTTAGGAGCAGTTACTTAGCATCTAGTCCTGAAACAATTTTTGAAGAATTCTGGTTGAAATGCTTAGAGTTTACTCCTGAATTTACTTCCCTGCTGTGTGAAGGTGGGTCTCATAATTCTCCCTCACCGGGCAAAATATTGCGCAGTGGCAAAAAAAAAGTATGGATTCTTTAGCGGACCTGGACATTTTATGCCACTTATTGGCTTTGTGACCTTGGGAAAGTTACTTAACCTCTCTGAGCCTCAGTTTCTGCATCTGTGAAATAGGGATGATGATAGTACATACCTCCCTGGGTTGTCGTGACAATGACTTCATATGATGTATGAGAACTGCTCAACACAGTGCCTGGCTCATAAAAGGCTCAATGACTGCTAGCTGCCACCCACATCCTCCTCCTCCTTACACACATCCCAGCAGCATGACATGGCAGCCCAGTCACTGAGTTCTCCAAAGCTGAGCTCCGGGCAGACTGTGAGCTGTAGGTGGGGAGGAGGAAGGACGGTGTGAGCCCCACGCCTCACTGCCGAGGGAACGATGAGGGGACAGGTGGGGGTGCTACAGGCAGAAGTTCTCAACTCAAGTTCTTTTTACTAGAGAATCATTCTTCACTTTTGTCATGTGCCTGGTGGAATAAGTGGGGGTGTTTAGGTCTTTCAGTAAGTGTGACCCTAAATGTAGAGGGTGGGGGGAGGTGTGTCTGCATGTGTCTGTGTGGGGTGTATGTCTCTATGTGTTTGTGTGATGTGTGTGTATGTCTATACAGCGTGTCTTTTATGGTATGTGTGTGTGTGTCTGTATAGTGCGCATGTCTGTGTCGATGTGGTATATGTGTGTGTCTGTATCCGTCTGTGTTATGTGTGTATATGTCTGTGTGATGTATGTATGTGTGTGTCTGTGTGTATCTGTGCATATTTGTGGGGCTTCAAGAGAAGGAATCTGGCCAGCTTACATACACACAAGCATTCTAATTCTACCCTCTAGAGATGAGCCAGTTAACAGGTGAGGAGTCACCTTGGCAAGTGTGTGAGATAAAATACTTCCTTGGCTATTTCACATTTTGGGGAATGAAAAATGTGAAAATGTAAAATTATATCATAATTACAATCGCATGTCAGAATACGCTAGTGATAATGACAGTGTATTTTAGGTGAACATTAATCTTTTTTTAGTCAGCTTTTCTAATATTTGTTATTCAGGAAATATGATAATTTTGATTTTCTAAAAAAGTTTTCTAACACGTAAAAGAGAAATCCATAGAATTTTCTGAGGTTTGGTAAAATGGTAATCTCTGATGCTGGCAAATCCTTTTTAAAGAGGAAGTGGAGGACCTAAAAGAATATTGGTGGTTGGTCAGGCACGGTGGCTCACGCCTGTAATCTTAGCACTCTGGGAGGCTGAGTCAGGAGGATCGCTTGAGGCCAGGAGTTCAAGGCCAGCCTGAGCAGAATGAGACCCCATCTCTAAAAAAAAGAGAAAAATTAGCCAGGTGTGGTGGTGCCATGCCTGTAGTCCCAGCTGCTTGGGAGGCTGAGGCAGGAGGATTGCTTGAGCCCAGGAGTATGAGGCTGCTGTGAGCTGTGATGATGCCACTGCACTCTAGCGAGGGCAACAGGAGAGACCCTGTCTCAAAAAAAATAAAAATAAATAAAAATATCGATGGTACTGAAAAGTAAAATCCTTCAAGACTTTGATCAGGGACCCATACAGAGAAGACTCCACAGATCAGCAGAAGGTTTCTTTGTTTTGTTCTCTCTCATAACTAAATCCCTGGAAGCACGGGGCTCAGTGATGCTCATTAAATTGCGTATGTGTGGCAACTACATGGCGACACCAGACTAGGTTCTGGGACGAAGCAGACAAAGCCCTCCAAACCCAGAGAGGTGGGAATAGTTTAGCATGATCACAATAGACTCAAGCTCTTGATCCTTTTCTACCCACAAAGCAGGTCAGCGTGTGTGTGGGGGGATGATGGGATGGTGGGATTCAGGCTCTCAACATTATATACTGGAGATGGACTGTTTTTTTTATTGTTTCCTGGACTAAATTCTTACAGTTCTAAGTCCCATCCCCTCGGTGACACACCATTTCCCACCCAGCGCCTCACAGCTCACTGCAGCGGACCAGTGTGTTATCCTTTCTGTGAAGCCCACAGCATAAGCTTCCAAGCCTTCCGGCACATCTTAGTAGATTCCTCTCTAGTTGTGACACTGGTCAGCTTCAATGAGCCAGTATGAGTGTTTATCCTATCTCCCTTGGCTGTCCATGGTTACGAGAAGAGTCCCTTTCTTTGATGCTTAGAATTTCACTTCCTAAAGACTGTGGAAAGGAGAGAATAAATACTATTTTGCAATCCTTAATTTTTCTTAGTCCTATTTAATCAAGCCAGTCACTGTTGCTGTTTTTCTAACTCCATGAGAGAATTAGAATTTGTTGCTCCATGCATGACTCCAAAACTTTCACATTCATTCTCTTTCCATCCTCCTAAAACCTTTCTGCTGTCATATTCCCTATGACTGAACAAATTAGGAGGGACAGGCCTTTCATGATAAAACTCTACTAAAGGGGACAGGGCTTTCTGACTTGTGTGTGAAAATGGTAAGGTAGACAGTTCACATTCCATTCACAATTTTGGTCTTCCTTTTATATATGGTTATGTAAGAATAAGTGATACTATCGTTTTTAGGTAAGAGCAGTGGTTCTAATAAGGTACTGAGTAACTCAACATCTGGATTTTATCTTTTTATGCCTTTTCTGATCCATATGACAACAGGTAACATGTTTAACCTCTTTTAGATTCGATTTCTTTGACTAGGTTTTTATGATTATAATAATTATGTTGACTTCCTTCAACCAATTCAGGCTAGGGAAATTCCCTCTATCCAAACGAGCTTTTCTATCACTAGATGAACTTTGGAGGATTTTCAAGATACAATAGGAAGGCTCTGGACTGTTAAATTATAAAATATGTTATCTATTTAAAAAGAAATTTAGATACCCAAAAGTGTCTCATTCACTAGCAAAATTCTGCTGATTTCAACACCACTCCTGAATGAGTCTTAAATCCAAACCATTTTATTTTCACGCAAATTCAATTTTTATCATCCTAGAAGATAGATCGTGACACATTCTTTCTGTTTTCCCCCTACCAGATGAGAAAATGAAATTGCATTCCACAAGGAAAATCACAAACGGCCATTTCAAACAGGTAAAACTGGGACCACTCACTCCTTAGTTTCAGTGGTAGATCAATTATTAGGATGTCTTGATCTATTTGTCTGAATGGTTTCTGTTGATCGCAATTTTCTTCCAAATTATTCCGATTTATGGTAATTTATAGGAATAACACAGCTGTCGGCGTGCCTACCTTAACCCCCACCGATTTAGAAACGCTTTGCAAAAAAGGGTAACTGTGACGCCGCTCTATTCTCCACAGCACCTGCTGGGCACACTGCATTTGTTCTTTGCTTTGACCTCTGCAGAGCAGCCCACTTAGGCACAGACCACCCTCGGCTGCCCTCCCCACACCTTACCTGGTCTCTCTGTCTTTGGGTATCGTAGCAGTGCTGTAAGCAAAAACTTGCTTCTCAACTAGAGGAGGGCCAAGGTCCACAATGCCAGATAATCCTGGAGCGTTCCGTGGTTTTTCTATGTACACCAAGGTGCCCGGCTCCTTTTTAAAGGACTGGCGGCTCGGCGAGGCCCGGTCTGGCTGCAGGGTGTGAGGGGGCCCGTGGGCGTTATAATGAGCGTGCATATCTATCATTCTCAGGTCACTGACCCGGTGAGGAGAGGCGGGCGGCGTTTTGGAGCCCAGCGTCGGCAAATGGCTATCTGGATATTTCCTTGACTTCTGTCTGTACAGCGACTGCTCCATATGCATTTCCGCTTGCAAAGACGGGTTGCAATAAGCACTCGCCGACCGGATCGCCGTGCGGTGATATGCAATGATGTGATCCGGGACATCCAGCGGGTGCCCACCGTGGGACGAGGCTATACTCATCCGGCCCTCGTGATAAAGGTAAGGATCTGCATAGAAACCCTCGTTCCTGTACATCGTGATGTTTTTGCCACTCATATCTTCGTCTGGCTTGACATCTCTCCTTTCCAGGATGGCGCTCGGGCTTGGTGAGATGGGTCTGGAGACTGGGAGGCTGGAGAGTCTGTCCCTGGGGATGGTGGCGTTGCCAGGAACAACCATGGGGCGGGTGCCCCCGTAAGGAATTCTGGACGGGGAGGGAGGCATGGAATGTGGCACGGGCGTGGACGGCGGGGAATTGGGAATCACGTGGGGTGGATGGGCTGTAGATCCAGGCCGAGAGGCACCGGGGCCATCTCCTCTTGCATAAACAATTTCTCTCTGCATCTGAAAAGAAAGCAAGGAATGAGAAAGTCTACTTGGATATTCACATTTTTTTAGAGAAGTCTGACTTTGTGACCACGTGGCTTCCTAGATGTGGGAGTCTGAATAATGCCTGTTCCCCTGCAAGATGTCCACATTCTGGTCGCTGGACCATGTGAATATACTCCTTTACATGGCATAAAGGGACTTTATAGATGGAATGAAGCTAAGACGGTGAGATGGAAGAACAGAATCCAGGTGGCTCCAGTGCAATCACAGGGGTCTTTGTCTGTGGAAGAGGGAGGCAGGAAACTCAGTGGGGTGGTGGGGACCTGTGATGCTGGAAATAAAGTCAGAGAGAGAAAAGTGAAGGTGGCAAGAGGCGTGGCCATGAGCCGGCCATGAAGGCGGCTGCTAGCACCTGGGACAGGCAAGGAGACCGATAGTCCCCTACAGCCTCCAGAGCGAGTGTGGCCCTGCCGACACATGGCTGGTGGCTGGTGAAACCCATTTTGGACTTCTAACCTCCAAAACTGTAAGCTAATACATTTCTGGTGTTTTCAGCTACAACTTTTGCAGTAATTTGTGACAGCAACCATAGGACATGAATACCCGCCATGTAGAGCTCAGGGTTGTGGGGTTTGAAGGAAAAATAGTGCCATGGTTTAAATTTTGAGGTCATAGTGCTTAATAAATGTGGAGCTAGTGTATCCACAGTGCTGCACTTATGTCTTTTAAAACTTGTCTCCAGTGCATTTTACTGCTATTAGCTCTGGGAAACAGTAATCGTGTTTCCCATCTTTGAAAGCCGATACAATCTAAGGACATGGCCCGTGAGGAAGAGGACATGCATGAGGAACGACGTGGAGGGAAGTTCCATTCATTCATTCACCAGTTCTTCATCTGAGCCTGTGAGAAACCAGCACAGGGAGGCTGGGAGGAAGTGCAGATTCAGGAGGTCAGAGTGCAATTTACAACTGACCCTTGAACAACATGGGTTTGAACTGCACGTGTGTGTGCAGATTTTCTTAGGCATCTGCCAGCCCTGAGACAGCAAAACCAAGCTGCCCTCCTCCCCTTCCTCCTCCCCCTCCCCCTCCTCCTATTCAACGTGAAGAGGACGAGGATGAAGACCTTCATGGCCATCCACTTCCACTCAATGAATAGCAAATATATTTTCTCTTCCTTATGACCTTCTAAATAACATTTTCTTTTCTCTAGCTTACTCTGTTGTAAGAATGCAGTATATAATACACATACAAAATCAGTGCTAATCAACTGTTTATATTGTTGATAAGGTTTCCCATCAACAGCAGGCTATTAGTAGTGAAGTTTTGGGGGAGTCAAGAGTTATATATTGATTTCTGACTGCACGGGGGTTGGCGCCCCTAACCACTGCATTGTTCAAGCGTCAACTGGAATTTGCACCCACACCCCTGTGTTTAGCAAGGGGCAAGATTCAAAACTACAAATTCATGGAGGATACGATTATTTGATACATTTTTGCTTTGGTCAAGGTCCCAGCGGGAAACGCCCACTAAGATTCTCCGGATGGCTGTGAGGGAAGCACAGACGGCCTTGGCCCGTCCTCCAAGTTCTAGTTGTGCTATCACAGGAACTCACGTTCCCTGTCCTGACTTTCAGGAGATGTGACAAACAAGAAGGGTATAAGTGGCTGGAAAGTGCATGAGGAGAGACGAGGGGGTCTGGACCAAGTTGAGCAGCTGAGAGACTCATGGTGTGGGTGACGGTGTGGGTGACAGTGTGGGTGACAGGGGAAAGACAGTAGAGAAAGTGGTAAAGGAAACAGAGCCCAATGCCCTGAGTACAAATCAACTGATTCCTTATCAAAAAATGCATTTGTTTAGTAAACAGTACTCACCGAGCGCTCTGCTAAGAGCCCGCATTGTTGTAGGATACAGTTCTGAACAAGCCCCCAAGTCCCTGCCATGCAGAGGGCACATTCTCTCTCGTATGTCTCTCTCATAGACGACAATGCGGAGGAAGAACCCGCGGGGACTGGGACTTCCTTATCTTGTTCCAGCCCTGCAAAATCCCCGACCTGGGAGTTTTACATATGACGGTAGATTTCATAAGGAACGTGACCAACTAAAAGTGCAAACGCTTACGTGCACATACGGAAGGAACATTCGCGGGGTGTCCGGCAGATGGGAGGGGGAGGAGGGGAAGGGTAAATTCACACCTAATGGGTGCGGTGTGCACTTTGTAGAGGATGGGCACGCTTGTAGCTCTGACTCGGGTAGTGCAAAGGCAATATAGGTAACCAAAGTGTTTGTACCCCCATAATATTCTGGAAAAAAAGTGCAAACAAGGTGCAAACGTGTGGTGACAAAATGAAGCCCACTGAGTATACATTAACTGAGCACCATTAAATTGGCCTCTGGGCTCCTATTTCTGGGTCCCAGACTGTTTCTGGGGCTCCTGGAGTATGCAGTCTCCTCCTCACAATTACAATTTTATCTCCACTGCCCCCACAGCACAAACACACACACAGACACACAGACACACACACAGTTCCTACCACAATAGGCTACTCTGGGCTCCCTTCTCTAAATATAACTTGTGACATCCTCAAGCTGTCCTCACCCTGGAACTCTCTCCCCACGTCCTAGCCCTTGTGGATCCACACCTAGGCCTTGGCTTGAGGCCAGACGCCAGGTGCATCTGCTCCGCCTGGTCCCTTCCGGGACGTGCTCGCGCAGTCCTCTCTGCCTGCTCAACACCCTCGTGACTCAGGTGTTCATTGCCTTGGACCAAGAGGGACAGTCCCAAGGTCACTGTGTGATAATATACGAGATTGATTCTCATTCCGGAATGGCTGGAGCAACCATGCGGCAGAGGTTTTGCAGGAGAGCAACAGGGAACCTCCACACCTACCTCTCTGACTTCCACCATTCAGAGCTCAATAAGAAGAAAAGTGTGGCTTGGCTGTAAGCAACACAGGGCTTCACAGGTCAGAAAATACAAGCGGGACTGGCTCAGCGAGCAGCGGATATCTGGGCAAATTCCCCACATAATCAGATCACACAATGCAATAATCAACCAACACAAACATCAGCATAAATTCATCACAGCGACTCAAACATGCCACTGTGTATAAAGCATCACACAGCGCCCAGGGCAAATCAGGTACAACAGATGGTAGGTCCTATTATCATTACTCTTATTAATTCCCCCCCAAAAAGACTGAAAACATCTAGAGCTCACTGGGGTTGTAAGGGGTTAGTCACTACTCCCTGTTGTTTTTCCCCCTTAGCTGGCTTCAGATGACATCATGATTTGGGGGACCTTGACCCCAATGAACACAAAGCAGAAACTTCCCTCTTTCTGGCAAGAGAGTAAAAGGAGACATTATGATCCTAGGACGTATAGAATCGTCTAGAAGGATAAAGAATATTAATAAAAGGAATATGTAAAATTAATTTTAATTAATGAAAGCCTGTGTAAATATCCTTTGAAACAGCAGAAGTATCTGCATAGGTATTTTAAAAACACGTTAAGTCATGTGCAAAAAAATGATGAGGAGGTACATTATATAAACAGCTTTTAAAATGAAACATTAAAAAATCTCATTAGAAAAAAAATCTCATTAGACTTCCTGGTGGCATGTGTAGATGAGATCCAAAAGAAATAGAATAATTAATTAAAAATAATTCTGATACATTGTGTTAGGCATTCGTATGGGGGATGTTGATGATATTGAAAATATTTAATAGCCAATATCCAGGATGGCGCGGGTACCAGCCAACTAGGATGGGACCTCAGCCAATGAGGATAGATCTGAGCCATGAGCAACTGGCATGGTGGATCTGGCAGCAATGGTGCGCATCAAAATCATCTTGCCACCATCCAACAGGGTCACTGAAAGAATCACTGTCAACCTTAGTTATCCACTGAGGGCTGAGTACAAGGATTCGGTTGTGATAGAACAGGTAAGCTGAGGTCGAATGTCTCCATCAATACAGGCAGTTTAGAGGTTGGAAGCCTTTGGCAGAATCCTTATGTTGGTCTGCCAAGCTATGTGATTTTCCACGACTGAGTTTTAAAAAGAACCCTGATCATTTCATCCTCGCCTCTAAATAGAGCCCAAGAGGAGAATGACATAATGATCCCATTTTACAGTGGGGATTTTTTTTTTAAACCCACAACTCGAATGAATCCTTGAAACTAGATAACTTGGGTTCACACACTAAAGGATATGGACCAACCAAAGGCACTCACTCTTAGGATGTGGAGGACGGTAAGAGGAAATGAGAAGAGAGAACTGTTTTCAAGTTTTCAGTGTGATCTGCCAAGGAGAACACTCGCTATTGCAATAAAAACTAGACTTTAGAGACTCCAGAAGACACCTCCCCGAGTGACTCAGGCAAGGTGATGACTCAGATTTTGTAATTCATAATTTAAAATGACCCCAGCCTTTCACGCCGGTGGTCTTTCCATGGAGAGATCTTCCTAGAATCACGCACTGACACAATTTCATTTTGTTTTGTTTTTAAACTGTTATTTGGTGAATGAGTAAAGACATGGTATTAAATACATACTGGGTTTTTCCTGCCCTGGTACTCAAAGTCAGACCTTCTAGGAGAAAATGATATTAAACTTGCAAAATGAAATAAACACCACACACACACACACACACACACACACACACACACACACACACACACTTGCCATTCACCTTAATATGCCTGAATCCTTTGTTCTACCAATAATATCTCTGATGCGTAATCTTCTCTATCATCTCACTTCTCCTAGTAAAATTATCTGGATATGTTATTATCATTGACACTTTTTCCCCAGAAGATTTTAACACTCATGCCTTTATGTGATCTTTAAAGAATTCCATTTTATAGCAAGAAAGAAACAACCTACACACAAAAATAAAGGTTCTTCTAACACCTTATCCAAATATAACACAGATACTTATTTGTCTGCACCTAAGCCCAGACACAGAAAATGTTACTTTATCTGCACTAGGTATGTTGCCAATGTTACGAACGAGA